ATTGCTGCAGCTGTTACTACTGCTGCAGCTGCTGAGCGAGGCAGCGTCAGGAACCCCACAAACCATATCTTCATCCACTCCCTCGCTTGTCTCGAGTTGATTTCGACTGTCAGCGGAACGGGTTAGTTGAAGAGCAATACACCGTCCATACATCAGCAAGAAGCGGAGAGCATTTTGAGAGAAGCTACGTCTCCAGGCCATTGCCCCCTGAGCTGCATTTGGCTGTTGTTGTGTCTCCTTAGTTTCTGCGGCTGCATCTTCATTGCCATCATCAACTAGGGACTGCCGCTGCTTCTGCTTCTGTCTTGTGCGTGAGAAGGCCCAGCTACCCCACCGAGAGCCAAAGCGTTGCAAAATTCGCAAGAGATGAGAATGCCGCTGGAGGGGTGCTGTCTCCTCAGCAGCAACTTCATCTTCTCGAGCTGCTGTCCATGCGCTTAAGACACAGTCTTGACAACTGTTTATAGCAGAACCTGCTGCCTCACGAAGATGCGCATGCTGCAGCTGATTCCCTTCTTCCTGCTGCTGCTGCTGCTGCTGCTGGGTTTGGTCGAGTTGGCCTAGCGCTCTGTGTGTCTCAGATACCACAAGGCTCCACACAAAAGCGAGTGCTGCATTCCGCTGCTGCTGCTCCGCCGGCAGCGCACGCAGCTTCTGCTGTTCTGCAGCCCCCGAGCCATCCGCGGAAGTGTGGGGAGAGAATGCGAGAGGAGGAAGAACAAAGGCCTGAAAGGCCTCTACGGTGTCGGTGACAGCTTCCACCACCTCAGGCCACACTGTAGCGAACTTTACTGAGAGGCCTGCAAGCAGCACGCGGTAGGCTAACTGCAGCAGCAGCACAAGTCCGCCGCACTGGGGCCCTGCTGCTGCTGCCCCTCGCGCCTCTACCCTTGTCAACCTCTCCTGGATAGACCGCACCTCCTCCGCGCAAGAGTGGAGGAGCTGTATCTTGGATCGCTCTGTGTCCAAATCAACTTTGAGCTTCTCCAAGGCCTCCAGCTTCTGCAGCAGGCTGCGTACAACTACATTCAACGACTCAACAGGAGAAATGAATTGCTGCAGAGGGCAGCAGCTAGGACGCCCTACCACGGTGCTGCAGCAGCTGCAGCAGGAACATGTTAACAGGGAGGAGGGATCGCAACTGCTGATAAAGCGCAGAGACCACAGACGAAGCTGAGGAGAGCCCGAAGACAAATTCGGCAACAAAGCCTTAACCGCCATCAGACACAAATCCCGCATGCAGTACTGCTGCTGCACGTCCTTCCCCTCTGAAAGGCCGCTGCTGTTGAGCAGCCTCAAAGCCAAGCAAAGACTCTTGACAAGAGCTGGACTTGCATGCAGACTAGCCGCTGCTGCTGCCTCCCCGTTCGTTGTCCCCTGAGGGTTTGTGTATATCGAGGTGTAATGCGAAGACAATGTGAAACTCAGCACACATTTAAACCAATTGCCTTCGGGCCCCACCGCATACGATGCAGCAGCAGCAGGTACGCTGTCAGGCGGTGGCGCTGCAGCAGCAGAATCTGCATCGTCTGTGCTGCTGCTGGAAAGGAGGAAGCGACGAGCCCCTTCGAACTCTGCAGCAGATATAACGGTTGTGTGTCCCGCGCTGCAGCTTCCGAAGCAGTCACAGCACGGGCTGCTGGCTTTGCCGGTGGCGTCAGTAGCTGTTGCTGCACTGCATGCAGCAGCAGCCTCACTTAGACGCGCTGCACAGAGCTGTGTCAGATGCTCCGGGGGGCTGGAGCAGGTAATTGTTTCCTCCCCTTCTTGAGGTGTCATGAGTCGAGGGAGTGAGAGGAAGGTCACGAAGATGCGGCTG